AATCAGTAATGGGGTCCGATCTCCATCGGGGGACAACTCGTAGGGAGGAAGAGAGAGAGAGAGAGAGAGAGAGAGAGAGAGAGAGGAAGGTAGAGACAGAGGGGAAGAGAGAGAGGGTGGCGAGTAGTGTTGGTTTTTAGTCCAAAGTCCACGGACTTTTTCGGACTAAAGTCCGCGGACTAAAAGTCCGCGGACTTTTTAGTCCGAAAAAGTCCGTGGACTTTGGACTAAAGACCAACACTAGTAGCGAGGGAGAAATAGAGAGATATATAAATAGAGCGAGAAATTGAAACCGAGAGAGAGAGAGAGAGAGAGAGAGAGAGAGAGAGAGAGAGAGAGAGAGAGAGAGAGAGAGAGAGAGAAGGTAGAGAGGGACGAGAGATATGGTAGAGAGAAAAATAGAGAGATATAAATAGAGTGAGAGAGAGAAAGCGAGAGAGAGAGAGAGAGAGAGATCGGCCGATTACTCTTCCGGGATGTTGCCCCACTCGTAGATCTCGCTGTGGTTCGAGTAGATCATTCGGACCGTATTGTTGCCGTAGTGGCCGACGTAGAACGCCTTGTAGATCTGAAATTAACGTTGCTAAAGCTAAAGCTAGCTTTAATTTTCCTCAAGAATCTCTGCTAGCCTGCCATTTCCTAAAGAACCCGTCCCACCTTTCCTTCCTTGATCACCGGTTCCTGGTCAATGCAGGTAGCATGCCAATACATTGACAGCACCATCTGTCGTCCCGTCAGCACGTTCTCCAGGAGGTAAAACTGTACATCCGAATTTTACCCGTCTACCGCAACTTTTACCGACCCGCTTCACCGTATTCTCCACCTCGCCCGGCGCCAGGTCGTCCTTGAATTTTAGCGTGAAGGTGAAATCGCTGAAAAGATGCTAAGCATACGCTTAAGCCAAGCCAAACCTGAGCCTTGGCCTAAACCTAAGCATGAGCCTAAGCCTAAGCGATGGCTAAGCCTAAGCCTAAGACAAAAAGCCTAAACTGAGCCTGATCCTAGATTTAAGCCTAATAAGCCTAGGCGGGATGAGGGGAATCGTTTTTCGGTGTTTTTTAGCGATATTTTGAAAAATGAAAAATTTTCGACCGAAGTTTAGGTTAGAAATTTTTTCCAAGTATTTTGTTGCTTTAATTGCTAAGTTAACACGGAAAAAAATTAGTCCCCCCCCCCGATAATGCAAAAGCACCAGTTTCCGATTTACCCACGGATTAGTCGGTTGGTAGTATTGTTGAGGAATACCGTCGATTTCTTCGAGCAGGCAGACGTAGTCGATCAGATCGGGGATTTTGTATCTATGAGGCCGGCCGGCGTAGACCACTTGGGAAGCAGGGACCTACAGGCTCTCGTCGGCCGCCTCACCGCCATTGTGGACGGCATTCTGGACGGTGTCGAGACAGCCGAAGCGGATGGTCGAGTAGCCCGGGCCGTCCAGCGTCGCCACCATGGGCGGCAAGCCGTTCTCCCAGAAATGGGGGCAATAGTAGGCGAGGAAGCGGACCGTCTAAATGAACAAGTGGCAGGCTAGCAGAGATTCTTTAGGAAGGGGGCAGGTTAGCAGAGACAATTAGCAGTACCTACCTTCCCCCTCAAGGCGGTGATGATCTTGATCTGCAAATGGGACACCCAAAGTTTCAGGTGCCACGTGTTCATCGCGTCACGGATGTTGAGATGCACCGAGTACCACCAGTCGCCGTCTCGCACCTGCTTGTTGATGTTGGCCCTAAATTTTTCCGATTAAAGGAAGCAGGAACCCACTTTGAGACCCGCCCCTCCAGCTTGAGCAACGGTTCCACAGGGTCTGGCATGAGGTCGTTTTCCCGAAAATTGGTGAGCGTTTTCGAGACAGCGAAAGCGATAGAGAGAAAGAGGGAGAGAGAGCGAGACAGAGAGAGAGAGAGAGAAAGAGAGAGAGAGAGAGAGAGAGAGAGAAGAGAGAGAGAGAGACTCAAGTTCCCAGGGTTCTCTTGTATATCAGCAGCACATTTTGGATAACCTCTCGACCTCCTGAATCATTTTATGATACGGGAATGGGGAATTGAACCATGAACTGACCCCCAAACGAGCCATCCTGTTGCCATAGAGCACAAGCTAGAGTCTACGCGTCGCCTGTTGGCGCAACTGGGCTGATACGGTATTCGAAAACAGATGACGAGCCCCGCTCCTAGTTCTCGGCCTCTAACCATAACCCGAATGGCAGAGTTATTTGCAGAGTCATTGTTCGCAAAATACTCCATAAAAACGGCTGCTCAAATTCCCCTAGCCCACACAACGCAACATGAAAGGGTTGCCGAGGGCAGACACACCAATAAATAGCTTCTGGTTTTGTGTTATCGCTGTGTGAGAAAGAGAAAGAGAGAGAGAGAGAGAAAAAAAAAAGAGAGAGAGAGAGAGAGAGAGAGAGAGAGAAAGGGGTGGGGGCAGAGAGAGTGCGCAATTCCGATAAGCCGTCAACGAGCGGATCAGCCAGTGAGTCACATACGACAATTGTGATCGATCGAGATATGCCGACGACATTGATGGATTCCCAAACGTTCTCTGCTAGCCTGCCCTATCTTAAAGAATCTCCGCTAGCCTCCTTTTCCTAAAGAACTCTGCTAGCTTGCCCCTTCCCAAAAAACCTCTGCTAGCCTACCTTTCCTAAACGATGCATGCTAGTTTTTGTCTTGAGCCTTCTAAAGGGGGAGTCAAGTGTCAATGCGCAACGTGTCCAATCATTAATAATTCAATTGCGCAAGGAAAAAACTAAAAAAAATAACAAAACGGCGAAGCAAACAATAGGTTTCGGCTAGACCTTGTGACCACCCGGCCCGCTGGACCCCCCTGAATTTCCTGATAAGCTTACCGGAAAACTCTGCGTCAAAAAGTAGACAGAAAGCGGAAGAGAAGAGGCGCCACCTGTTCAAGAACCATGTAAAAATTTGGTACCGCTACAATACCATGGGAGGAAATTTTACTCTAGAAAGTTCTCGCTCTCTCTCTCAAGCTCTCTCCCTCGCTCGCTCTCGCTCTTTCTCCCGCTCTCTCTCTCTCTCTCTCTCGCTCGATCTTTCTCTAGCTCTCTCTCGCTCTCTCTGGCTCTCTCCCTCTATCTTTCTTTCTCTCTTTCTCTCCCTCTCTCTCTCTCTCTCACTTAACTTTCTAAAAATTATTTCAAAACTGATCTTTATGCCGTTTGGTACGTTAATTTAGAATGTGTTGTTTGTAGTCATTGATTAGCCGGGATATCCAGGGAAAAACTCACAACTTTATTAATGGAAGCTCACAACCACAATTCTTTTGCCAGCAACTATATTTGGATTATGACAGCGTAGAGGGTATAGGGTATCACATCGATTTCGACTTTTCACAACCAAAATTAACACAAAAATGACAAGTAGGAGGGAATACGATAAGCTATTGTTGAAGAAACAGCGAGAGAGAGAAAGAGAAAGAGAGAGAGAGAGCCAAAGAAAAAAATATGTAAACACTGGTCAGCTACCCAGAAAGACCCGAAATATGGCCGAGTTGTTGTTGAAGCGGAAACGGAAATTGTCAATTTTCTCCAAAATGACAAGTTGCACAAATCATATTAAGCGGAAATTTTACAAATTATTATTCGGCAACAGCTAGCTACTGTACATGCGCTTTTCCCGAGCCGGAAAAGCACCAAAAATGCCAAAACAATTTTTAAATGGCTTTGAGGCGAAAAATCAATTTTCGAGGTTATTTTTGCCTTCAATGGTTCTTTAAAAATGGAAAAGTCATGCAAAATTAAGGGTTTTAAAAGGAGGATAAAAAAATTTTAATCGCTGTCACTGTCGCTGTCGAAGAACGCCTGCGTGTCCTCCTGGTTGAGAGGTTTGAAGCCCTGAAAAATGGGACCTATGATCCAGGTTCGCTCTCTCTCTCTCGCACGCTCGCTCTCTTTCTCTATCTCTCATTCTTTCTCTCTCTTTTTCTCTCTCTCTCTCACTCTCTATAACTTACCTTCCGATCGAAGCCACTTTGCAAGCTTCTGGGTCCCCTAGGCTTCCCTCGCTTCAGGTAGTAGTAGGCCGCCCCGATGACGCCGAGGATCAGAAAAAATGTGATCGAAATTGGGGCGTTGCGGCTGATCTGAAAAGGGCAGGCTAGCAGAGATTCTTTAGAAAAGGGCAGGCTAGCAGAGATTCTTTAGGAAAGGGCAGGCTAGCAGAGATTCTTTAGGAAAGGGCAGGCTAGCAGAGATTCTTTAGGAAAGGGCAGGCTAGCAGATATTCTTTAGGAAAGGGCAGGCTAGCAGAGATTCTTTAGGAAAGGGCAGGCTAGCAGAGATTCTTTAGGAAAGGGCAGGCTAGCAGAGATCCTTGCGAAGACCTACCGCTCCAGCCGCTGCAGAGGCTTGCTGGTAGATGGCATTTCCGGAAGACAGGGGCTCAGTAGATGAGTCGTGTTGAATCTGGAAAGATCTGCTTAGGAAAATCTGCGAGAGAGAGAGAGAGAGAGAGAGAAAACCCACCCTAAACTTCCACAACGTCGCTCCCTGCTCGCTGATGTCGCCGATGAAGATGTGTTTGCCGTCGGGGGAGACCCTGAAGTACTAGCCGCTCCTGTCACTGCCCCTTTAAAATTACCTCAACACGTGTGGCCTTCCAAAGCCCTCGGTTTTCGGGCCGAACGCAAATTCAAGCAGTCCAGTGCCCAGGCGAGAGCCGTAGACCTAAGAAAGTTTTTGGTATCGGTTTTGGTTTCGCCAAGGATTTCTGCTGGTCTGCTCTTTCCTACAGAATCTCTGCTAGCCTGTCCTTTCCTAAAGAATCTCTGCTAGCTTACCTTAATCTCGATCTCATCCTTCGTAAATTGGTTGTAGCTCGTCTCCCCGGGCAGCATGAATACCGTATCCTCGTGGGCGGTCGTGGAATAGATATTCGAGAAGAGCGACGAGGCGGTCATCGTTTGGAGGAGTCCCTCGGTGTTCAGCTCCTGAAAATTGATTTTAAAGGGCCTTTGAAGGCAAAATCTGGCCCGACTTCTTCGATTTTTGATTCCAAGCAGATCCCCGAGTTACAGTACCCCGTCTTCTAAACCCCACACAATTGCTACGGCGTTCAGATTTTTCGTTTTGTCTAGGGGGTCTGGGGGCTTTGGATTTGCCTTCAATGGCCCTTTAAACCGCCTACCTGAACTCGTCCGTTCTGTCGGTCAGCTACCAGCAGTGTTTTCCGGTCGCTGAGCGCAATGTCGTGCGGAAGGGCGAATTGGCCGGCGCCCTGGCCGGGCGAGCCGAATTGAGCCTGAATCATCATATTTTGGTCTTTTGGGAAGGGGCAGGCTAGCAGAGATGCTTCAGAAATTCCCACCTTGTATTTCCCATCCAACGTCAGCTCGACCACACGAGCATTACAGTACCCATCGGACACGTAGAGGCTAAAAAAAATTATACCTTTTTCAAAAACTGGCAATCAAAAATGCCATTTTTGGTACCCACCGATCACCATCCCTCGTGATAGCTGTCGGTTTGCAAAGATGACCATGGTCGCTGCCGGGCACGAATTTCTCTCCGAACTCCCACACCAGGTCGAGCTTGTCTGAAAATAGAAGTTTAGGTAAGCCTAAGCTAATCCTAAGCTAAGTCTAAGCTAAGCCTATGTATACGCCTAAGCCATTGCCTAAACCTAAGCGTAAGCCTAAGCTGAGCTTAAGCCTACACCTAAGCCTATCCCTAAACCTAAGCCTAAGCCTAAGCCTAAGCCTAAGCCTAAGCCTAAGCCTAAGCCTAAGCCTAAGCCTAAGCCTAAGCCTAAGCCCAAGCCTTCAGCTCCCATCGAAATTTTGGCACACCTCCATTCAGCTTCCACTTGGCTACGGTATGACAGCCGACGTCCGTGGTGTACATGTAGCCGTCGATGTCGACGAAGACGCCGTGGGGGAGATGGAATCTAAAAGTTCTCGGCTAGCAGAGATTCTTTAGGAAACGTCAATCCAGCAGAGAGCCTTGGGGAAACCCATGTAAAGCTCACTGCCCAGCCCCAAGCGCCTTCACGAGAATCGGTGTATCACCCTCAAATCTCGTCACGAGCAGCACCGGCTCGGCGATCGGCGCCTTGTCGTTCAGGTGATTCGTCGCGTCGAAGGTGCTAAACGGAATCTAAGTTGTGCTCTGGCTACCGTACCTCTGGTCCCAGACGCGAGAGCCTCGGTGGAAGACGACGAGGTTCTTCTCCTGATCGAAGGCGAGGCCCGAGATTTGGCCGAGCTGGTGGGAGCCGATTTTGTGGATCTTGGCCTCCTCGATGATGCCGAAGGGGCGCTGGAAATTTCGAAATTCTCTCTGCTAGCTTGCCCCTTCCTAAAGGATCTCTGCTAGCCTGCCCTTTCCCTAAGAATTTCTGCTAACTTGCCCCTTCCTAAAGAATCTCTGCTAGCCTGCCCTTCCCTAAGAATCTCTGCTAGCCTGCCTACCCCGCTTTGATGCGCCGTATGCTCCAATTCAGGCCGGGCCGGCAGCAATTCGTAGCCGTCCTTCGGGTACTCGTTGAAGATGTTCCTAAAGAATCCATAGGTTAACCGTAAACGGCATAGGCCACGCCCCCTCCCGCCTGTCGCCATCCCCTTAAAATGACCAAAAACTTACGCAACCTGATTCCCGCCACACACGGCCCCATAGGGGAACGGGTTCGCCTTGGCGGCGTCCCAGTAGAACATCATGTAAAAGTTGCACATCTCCTGCGTGCCCATGTGGCTGGAAAAATAGAAATGATCACTGCTAAGTTGAATTTGATTCCACAAGGATCTCTGCTTGTCTGCCCTGGACGTTAAAAACCAACCCCATTGGCGTCGTCTCGTTCATCTTGCTCGAGTCGAAGCGACACGTCGCCGCCATCACATCGCCCTTCCGGATCGTCAGCGGGTGGTCGATTTTTTCGAAGAGCTAAAAATCAATGATTTTTTGTGACCTATTATTGGGCTTAAACTGGGTCTTAGGCTTGGCTTGGGCTTGGCCTTAGGACTTAGGTTTGGGGCTACATTAGGCTTAGGCTTGGGCTTAAGCTTAGACTAGGACTAGAAGCTTAGCTTAGGCAAGGCTTAGGCTTAGGCTTAGCCCTGGGCTTCTTAGGCTTAGTCTTCGGCTTGAGCTTCGCATGGGTTTAGGCTTACGCTTAGGCTTAGGCTTAGGTTAGCATCGGGCTTCGGCTTGAGCTTAGGCTTAGACTCAGGATTCGGCTTGGCTTAGGGTTAAGCATACAAGTACAACTCACTTGGGGCCACTGCGGGTTGCGCTTTCCGATCTTCGTCCACTCGTTGCCATGCTTGAAAAAGCCGGAGACGAGCTTGCCCATAGCGTGGGTATGAGTCCTGAAACGTGGATATCTCTCTCTCTCCCTGTCTCTCTCTCTCTCCCCCTACTTCACTTCCCAATCCCTTTAAAGGAACCTGCAACTCCGAAAATCCCACCTAAACGCAAAGGGATGAAGCTCGGTCTCCCCCTCATACGGGCAACTCATGTTGCTCTGGAATTGCGGCATCTTGGGCGGGATCGGATACCCGGCAACGAAGAGCATCACGGCAGAGAGGTACCTGCAGGAGTACTGTAGCTGGGTCAGGCTTTAGTAGCTACCTCGGGGTCTCGTCACTTAAATGGAGCGTGACACCGGAGTAGTCGAGAACGTTTCCTTCGAAGGGCTGAGCGTAGTGGACCTGGAAAGAGCAGGCTGGCAGAGATTCTTTAGGAAAGGGCAGGCTAGCAGAGATTCTTTAGGAAAGGAAGGCTAGCAGAGATTCTTTAGGAAAAAGGTGTCTAGCAGAGATCCTTTAGGAATTCTCACCCACCTGGAGCACCAGCGTCTTGATCGTGCTGCTCTCGTGCCCAATATCAAATGCCACGCCCGGCGGCAGGTTGAGATTCGGGGCTAAATCAAAGAAAAATGAATTTTTTAAAGGGACCCTAAAGCCCAGAATCCACCTCCCGGAGAGCTGGGTTAGATTCTTGCCCTGCCAATCCCTTTAAAAGACCCCAAAAAACCCACCATTCCTCGCCCAGGCATACAAAATGTGCGAAGCGCCGTTGCCACAGGTGGCCATGCCCTTCCAGAACTGCTGCTCGCTGTACGCCTCCTCGCAGCCGTAGAGGAGCATGTGGTGGACACGGTCGGCGTGGGCGAGGGGTTCAAAGCCGACGATGTACCCGGGGTCGGCCGGCATTTGGACGGCCACGTAGTCGTCGGTCTGGAAAATGGTCAAATGTTCTCTGCTAGCCTGCCCTTTCCTAAAGAATCTCTGCCAGCCTGCCAGGCCAGACCAAGGCAACCTAGCAGGGTTTCTCTAGGAAAATTTTTTGTTACCCACCTTCGTCGGCGAGTAGCCAATCATCTGGATCGTCGACTTGCGGATGTTGGCCGTTTTTCGGGGTACAGAAGCGGAAAATAAGGTAGAAATTAAGCAAATTAGGGCAAATATTCGGAGCCAGCCGGTTGGCCGCCATCGTCGGCCGCCCATATTGTGGAGGGTGGCTGCAAGTGGGATCATATTTTGAGAGCGAGAGAGAGAGAGAGAGAGAGAGAGAGAGAGAAACGGAGAAAAACCGATCAATGTCTTGTACGACGCGCTGACACATAAAGCCCTTCAAACGGCCTTAAAAATGGAATTATTCGAAAAGGCGGCCCGCTCAGGGGCGGCCGGCTTCAAGGTGATATGCGTGGGAACCGGATGTGCCGTTTTTGCCCCAAAAAGAACGTGAAAAATAGAGTGATATTGAAAAGCGAAAGCTTATTAAGGATTCCTACTTCAAAAATAGAGAGATGGAGAGAGTGAGAGAGAGGAGAGAGAGAGAGAGAGAGAGAGAGAGAGAGAGAGCTTTGGTTTGCATTCCGAAAACACCTGATTTTATGGTTTAATAAACCTTAACCGATTACGTCATCAAAAAATACGGAGCGAGAGAGAGAGAGAAAGAGTGAGAGAGAGCGATAGTGAAGGAGAGCCGTCAGCCTAGCAGGGATCTTTAGAAGGGACCTCATCGCACAAACCGACGGGAATACGATGCTGGTAGACGACCGACAAGACGAACGAGTACAGGAGTGCGGGGGGCTAAAAGGCCATTCAAGGTACAACTGTAGCCCTATGCCGCTGGCAATCAGCCAACCGATCTCTTCAGCCGTCCGGGGGGAAAGAGCTGTGCCGCGAGGTAATTTTTGGATTAACGAGAAGGGGTACTGTAGCCAAAAAGCCAAAATTCGCCAAAAATTAGCGGCCGCGCCAGCGTCACCGGGTCGTAAAATGGGTCAAGTTTATTTTGTCGGCGAGGTGGGGCGGGGGGAAGAGAAGGTGCCGGGGCTGTTATCTTTCTGTTTGCCGGGCCAGAAATTCGGAAAATGCGATTGGAGGGTGTCAAAAAGCGGGGTTCGCGAGGTCCTGGTTAATTCCGGAATTTTGATGGCGTTTTTGGAGGGTTGGATTGATTTCCGGCCAAAATGACGACATTCGAAATGACGACAGCCAAAATGACGACAGCCAGAATACCGACAACCAAAATGGCGACATTCAAAATGACGACAGCCAAAATGACGACAGCCAGAATAGCGACAGCCAGAATGACGACAGCCATAATGACGACAGCCAAAATAGCGACAGCCAAAATGGCGACATTCAAAATGACGACATTCTAAATGCCGACATGCAAAATCAGCCATAATAGCTGGGAAAAATCAGATTTTTGCATGTCGTCATTTAGAATGTCGTCATTTTGAATGTCGCCATTTTGGCTGTCGCTATTTTGGCTGTCGTCATTTTGGCTGACGCCATTTTGGCTGTCGCTATTCTGGCTGTCGCTATTTTGGCTGTCGTCATTATGGCTGTCGTCATTCTGGCTGTCGCTATTCTGGCTGTCGTCATTTTGGCTGTCGTCATTTCGAATGTCGTCATTTTGGCTGTTTCCCGGTTGGATTATAGAGTACGTGGAAGGGCAATCGGGCAGGGATTATTTAAGACAGGGCAAGCTAGAAAAGATTCTTAAGGAAAGGCTAACTGGAGAGGTTCTTTAGGAAAGGGGAAACTAGCAGAGATTCTTTAGAAAATGGCAGGCTAGCAGAGATTTTTGGGAAAGAGCCGGCTAGCAGAGATTCTTTAGGAAAACGCAAGCTAGCAAAGATTATTTGAGCAAAGGCAGGCTAGCAGAGAATTTTCAGGAGACACAGCAACACTAATGACGTTTGTCATCAAACGTGACATGTGTGCGGCCGCTTGTTGTTTGCCAAACTCGGCGGCGGTCAAAAGTGAAATCCCCCCGAAAATGGACATGCGAAAAGAAAATCGATTCCGCAGCCCGCCTTTCCTATATACAACACCGAACAAACAAGTGTAGTATAGAGGGCGGCTGTAGCAATAGACTGGAATATTGGGCTAGAAAGGTGCCGGGGGAGGAGAATGAGGCGGGGAGAACCTGATTCTGCGGGTCGGCAAGCCTGGAGGAACCAGGTTCTGGACATGGGTTTAAAGGGCCGTCGAAGGCAAATCTAACCCCGTCCCTTTTAGCTTTGGCCCTACCCCTAAGCCTAAGCCCAAGCCTAAACCTAAGCCTAAGCCTAAGCCTAAGCCTAAGCCAACACCAGCCACAGTACCCCCTCTTTGTAAAGCCAAAACGTGCTGCCAGGACACAGCTTTTTCGACCCTAGCGAGTTCCGCAACGACTAAAAGGGGACGGCTAGCTGTTTGCCAAGATTCTAGGGACTATGGATTTGCCTTCAACGTTCCTTTAGAAGCGGTAGGCTAGCAGAGACAATTTGAGAAATGTTCGATTTGAAAGAAGATTTGAAAAAAATGTTCGGAATATAGAAACGGGTTTGCAGAGGTTTTTCGGAATTGCTATCTTGCTCAGGGCAAGCGAGCAGGGATTCTTTAGAAAACTTTCTCAAAAAAGCATGATTAGAATAGTTGGGGAGGGCAGGCTAGCAGAGAAAATTAGGGAGGATTTTTGTCGTAAAATTTGGCTTCATAAACTCGAAAATTGAGCAGGGGAGGCTAGCAGAGATTCTTGAGGAAAGGGCAGGTTGAGAGAGGTTTTTTAGGTAGAGCCATCTAGCAGAGATTTTAGGAAAAGGCAGACTAGCAGGGATTCTTAAGGAATGGAATATTGACCGAGTTCTTAAAAAAAACAGGAAGGCAGTGTAGCAGAGATTCTTGACGAAAAGCAAGCTAGCAGAGATTCTTTAGGAAAGGCAAGCTAGCAGCGATTCTTTGGAAAATTCCTAGCCCAAGGGCACAACCCCGTGGGGGCCCCCGTAATCTATCGACAAATGTGGTATTTAGACGGGGCAGCGGGCGGCAGAATACGCTTCGGAGGCACGTCATCCCGGAGGGCTCCTTCTCCCGGAACCTGCCGCACGCCCTAGTGAAATACGCCCCCAAAACAGCTCTGTTTCTCTGCCCCACTCTCTCGCTCTCTCGCCGAATTCGGCCAACGGGAAGTGGCTGTCATAGGGGAGAGAGAGCAAGTGAGGGGAGGGGGGAGGCGCAGAGAAAAACTGGGCCGCCGGGGGTGTCTTTTAGAAGTCGCGGGCCTGGTTGGAAGGGATTGCGGCTTCTGAGGCTTAAAAAATCGGGAGGAAAGGAATCCTAACGAATCTCTGCTAGCCTGCATTCTCCTAAATAATCTCTGCTAGCCTGCCCTTCCCTAAAAATCTGTGCTAGCCTGCTCTTCCCCTGGAGAACCGCTATTATCAATTACAAAAAATTTTACAGATCCGCTTTTCAGACCTTAAATTCCTCAACAATCGCTGCTAGCTTGCCCTGCAGTTATAACTCCATTGTGTGCAGATAAAACATTCATTTATCCTCTATGATATCACAGCTAATTGCGATGGGTGTACACTTCACAATAACGGAATCTCAAAATCACAAAAAATCACACAAAGCTGACAAGTACAAAAATATCGTTATTTGCTGAGCCTGACTCAAATCCTGACTGTAGAAACCGGGGGTTACGGTACGTTTTGCTAATTGGTATTCTAAGAAACACCTGATTTTGAGTGTAAGAATACATTTTAACCGATTACGCGATTAAAATGAGAGAGAGAGACGAGAGGGAGGAGAGAGAGACAGAGAAAGAGACAGAAAGTAAATCGAATTAAAACTGGACGCAAAATTCCACGCGCTGAGACCAGGAAAATATTGGATAGGGAATATAGGGCAGAAGCCTAAGCCTAAGGCTAAGCCTAAGCCCAAGCCTAAGCCTAGAACCTAAGCCAGTCTAAGCCTAAGCTCAAGCCTAAGCAAATCTAAGCCTAAGCCTGCCGAGACCACAAACTACAAATCCAACAAGGACGGCTGCTGGGCGATAGCGTTCCTCTGCTGCTGTAGCAGTAGCTGGGCGTAGTGGGCGTCGTCTTGGCCATTGGTTAGGTACCTAAATCCGTCGTGATCTCTGCTAGCACGCCCTTTCCTTAAGAATCTCTGCTCGGATGCCTCTCTCACCTCTCCCCGCCCAGCCTCAACTCGAGCGCGCGCAAGTCGCTGAACAGTTCGCCCGACTGGAGCCATTGGTGTGCCAGGCATTCCTCGATGTGGAGCCGTTCCTCAATCTGGAAATGGGGAAATTGCAGGGGTTCTCTGGGAAGGCAGGCTGGCAGAGATTCTTTGGGAAAAACTGACGTTAACTCGAAGTAAGCGCTGAATCAGATCAACGGCTTCACGCGAGACCTGGGCCCAGGGATCTTGGGGGAACATGAAGGCGGCGTTTTGGATTTGGTCGCTGATCTGAAATTGGGGGATAGAGAGAGAGCGAGATAGAGCGAGATAGAGCGAGGGAGCGAGAGAGAGAGAGAGGGGTAGAGCGAGCGAGGAGAGCAAGAGAGAGCGCGAAAGAGAGTGGGAAAGAGAGAGAGATCTAGAGAGAGAGAGAGAGAGAGAGAGAGAGAGAGAGAGAGAGAGAGAGAGAGAGACCTCCTCTCCATCGTTGAAAGGGAACGTCCCGGACAGTGTCACGTAGATGATCACGCCGACCGACCACATATCGAGCGATTTGTTGTAGCCTGAAAGTATTCTTAAGAATCACTGTTAGACTGCCCTATCCCAAAACTCTCTGCTAGCCTACCCTTTCCTAAAGAATCGCTGCTAGCCTGTTCATCAGCTCACCTCTCTTCTGCAACACTTCCGGTGGCAAATAAGCCGGCGTTCCGACGATTGTCTTCCGGAATTGGCTTTCCCCAATGAATCTGAAAACAACGCGTTTGATTCTGGTTCCGAAATGACCTCTGCTAGCCTGCTCTCTCGTCACCTACCTCGCGTATCCAAAATCGCAGAGCTTGGTCTGCGGGAAGTTGGACGAGAGCTCGGAGAGGAGCACGTTTTCCGGCTTCAGGTCGCAGTGGGCGATGCCC